TTAATGTTTTGCTGCTGCAGAAAAAAACTAAAAACATGTTACAGAATGTGGGAATGGCAATTGATTTCACTTGAAGCGAGAAATTATAACTCTCTCGTTGCCGGCGGAAAAGCTGATTCCTAGCTGCTTAGTCTTCATGCATTCTAGTCTACATTGAAATGTTTTGTTCTCGCAGAAATGACGATATCACGGTTGAAGACTTACCAGAAGAATGCTTCCCCGCGGCAATCAGCCACATGGATATGAAGGGTATCATCGAACTAGCTGCAAAGTAAGTCTATTTTCACTGCAAACCCACCAGTGTACTGATAGTATACACACTGATTAGAAAATCTCAAATTTAAATACAATTTAAATGGCCCCACTTAATTCTATGGCGAAGATGCTGTACACTAAATTTCAGGCCAATATTGCGATGGTCAGGAATTTTACAGCGTTCTGAATTTTCATGGTATTTTCTTTATCCATATGAGAAATCCAACACCATTGCAAAAGAAAAGCCTTATCAATGAAAAAATTGTCCTATAGTATAGGACGGTTCCATTAGATGCGAAAAATGACCCAATGGGTTAAAAATAAAGTCGTACGGGAGAATGCTAAGATCCATACACACGAAGTGGCCAGGGCCAATTTTGTACGTAGACTAGAATATGTCTTTGTGCACATTTAAATGAAATACAAAATTGTTTCTACATCACATACAAAATAGAGCAGTTTTACCAAGCCTACACTGGTAAAACGAGTGTTTAATTTTGCACGTCAATTGATGTTTAAGTTCAAGTGTGCATTTTTTAGACACATTGTAGTGTGTATGTGTAACTAGGTTATCCGTCAATTGGTGTATAAACTTTCGACTCTTCCGAAAAGTATAGCAGCTGCACACCATATGGTGTTCCTATTGGTAGCCTGGAACTGTGTGTATCCAAGTGCGCAAAATTTAAACGTTTACAAAACGTCTAAAATTTGCACACAACGCAAGTGTGCAAACTGGTGTGCAAATTTTGCACACTTGTTTTACCAGTGTAACTACAATTTGTACCTCTGTACACACAAATTTGTATCTGATGATGATGTGCTCAAAGGCATGCGACACATCTAACCTAGGTACAAAAATTGTCCTTCGCTATTTAGAGCACTGAAGTGTAGGATTAAAAGGAGGTCCCAAAACAACTGACATTCCGTCGCTATCGCTCAGCCAATGAATTATTTATACAGATTTAATATCCTGCTTTTGCTTGCAGCTGCAAGGAAATGACTACTATATGTTTGGAGAGAACAATGGGCCATAAAAAGAAAACCTGTCCGGAGCAACAAAAAACATACACAGCAATGCTACAAAAGAATAAAAGGTGTACTGTGTATTGCAAAACGTGCGATCGAAAAATAAGCAGTGAGAACCAATTCTGGGGCCAGTGAGACTACGGTCTTGTTCCAAATCAACTCCCCCCCCCCACACACACGTACTCACACCTACGCACACACACTCAGAAAACCATATGATCCTCAGAACAAAAAATAAGCAAGCCAAAAAGTTTACTCTCGTGAAACAAATTTATATCGCCCTGATTTCATTATTTAGTCATGTTGACAAAGGTGTGGTCGGCTTAATAAAACTTTTGTTCGCCTGATATTTTGATTAAAATTCTTGATCAAATGTTAAGTTGGCTTCAGGGAGTAAATTTTCATTGATTCGACACTTTTTTGGTTATTAGGACAAATCACTTTTGTCAGTGCACAAACACACACCTACCACATACACACACATGCACACGCACGCACGCACGCACACACGCACACACGCACACACACACAGCTGTACCAAATGCATTTGCTACGAAGAAAATCTGTGTTTTTTTTCGAGCTTGGTATGGTAATGGTGTAAGATTATGGCTGTATCACCTTAAGAGAAATAACAGATAACAAATAACAGATCTATCTTACACAGGTTTCTCTTGCTCTCTGTCGTTTCAAAAATGTTTCAATGAACATATTTTGCAATAAATGCTACTTTCGTGGAATAAACCATGATCAAACAGCATAAATTACCTTCCTGAAATGGATCTGTTATCTGTTATTTGTTATCTGTTATTTCTCTTAAGGTGATACCCGACTTACCCATTTTTTTTTTATGGATTGACTCTTATAGCCAAATTCCTAAATCTGTTACACACTGCCCCACCCTCCCTTACCATGACCAGATTTCAAAATAATAGAATCTCTAATTTTTTAAGTTATAAAACAAGATTTACGCCAGATTTATGCCGTTTCCTGGCACTAAAATAATTGTAATTATGTCTGTAAACTTAGTTTAGACCAAAACTCTCGTATGACTGCGTAACTGGTTACATAAAACAATCAGGCAAATTTTTAATTGCAACGTGGCACAAATAATCATGTGCACAGTCTCGAAACGAAACATAAACAGATAAAACCTTCAAAGTTTTCCAGGCTTGAAGGTCTTGCTTTTTAAAATTCCTACGTCGATTCAAGTGTGATTAAGGCAAACTTACGATCGAGCCAAATTCCAATGTCCAAAGAGTCAGAACAAAATAAGAACATAAAACCGTTTTTTGTTTTTTTCACTGTACCCACCCCCTACCTCACTATAATATAACACTTATAATCATTAAATATTATCTTAAAATCACGCGACGCCTAGTTAAGTTTTGAATAGTGAGTATCTTACAAGAAATTCGGGAACTTGAAGGATTTATTTATTTAACCACAGGAGGTAGCCATCAGATTTGTAGGTAACAACGGCCAGTCGTCTGTATGACGGGTTGGCCTGACCCTCAGGGAGGGTGCGTCGTGGGTTGTACCTATGTACTTTATCTCGCATCTATTTGTATGTTTTGTTTGAACAATAAACCACTGCGTGTATTGCCAACCAAGACTACGTCCTACTTCTTTTATGTCCCTTCAAGGCTTCCGGAGATAGCACCACCGTATTCAGGGGGTGCACTGCCCCCCCCCCCCTCCCCTGAGCGTCCCGAGGGGGCGCCAAACCCGCCCCGAAGGGGCACCCGAATGCGCCCTGGGAGGGCGCAAAGAGGCGCCCCTCCCTCATCCCGCGGGGATTTTGGCGCCCCAATCAAACAAAAATTTTCGAGCTCGCTTCGCTCGCGGTGTTTTTCATTACCTCTCTGTGGCCACGACTTTATGTCATATGCTTCTATTTTCTAGACTTAACAGCTGCGCATCAAATTTCGCCCGCTGCTACGCTCTCGCGCATGTAAACGATATAGAAGATCTATAGAAAAATAAAAGCACATTTTTGTCAGACTCTTTTTGAGGGAAGTGGGCGGGAGATATTTGTTTGCCCACGTACTTCTTAATACTTAAGGAAAATTTGAGGTGAAAGTGCCTTGAAATAAGGAAAAATGGAAATGAAACCATGTGTGCGACAACCGCAAGTATATATTTTTCGTTAATTTAAAAGCAATTTTTTTTTTTGGGGGGGGGGAGGGGCGCTAGTCGCCGTAAGGGGGCGCCAGAAAGGGTCGGGGTCGGATAAGCTGTACCCCCCTGGCCAAAAAACGTTCCTACGCCCCTGGTTGTGAAAGATGAAAGTGGTGCTCTTTGTATTACGATGAAAATCCGTTCGTAATATAGAGGTTCCAGATCCTTCGTACGTTACATTATACGTACGAAACCAGTATCGTCGCTTTCGAGGGGTGTGGAACTGGTCAAAAAAGTGTACACATGATTGTGTCTAGACAATCATTGTTTCAGATTGTGTGTGATTGTGTATGATTGTGTCTCTGATTGTCTCTGATTGTTTCACATTGTTGAGTGAATATTGGGACATAATTTTAAAAATTGTGTCATGATTGTGTCCGATTGTGTGTGATTGTGTCCGATTGTGTGTGATTGTGTCGATTGTGTGTGATTGTTTTAGATTGTGTATGATTTTACGTATTATAATTGTTACCATGTACACATAATTTTGCACCCAAAATGTGAAAATCACCCTGAGGTGGACTTAAACCCCTTTGTCAAATCATCAGTGATTTTTAACAGTGTATGATGTAAATTTGACACCCTAATCTTGCTTGTCGATGAATTCTCAGTCGATATGCATAGTGTTTGTAAGTTTGCAATTTTAAATTGTAATTTTAGAGCACGCTTCAAAGACAATTTTCCCGTAAAACCTATTCACAGATTTCATAAAAAATGCGTTCCTTTCATGCGTATTTCTATGCGCATTGCCGCATTTAATGCAAACTGTGATCTCTCCCTCTCTAGTTCCAGCTCTCTCAAGCTGTCGGTCAGACCCCATCGGCCTCATCAAGGAGCTCGGGCCGACTCTCAAGCATCTTGCTCTTGACTGATCATTATGTTGGGCGGCCGTGCCTTTGAACATCCTGTGTCACGCTCCCCGCCTAGAGACTCTCGACCTCACAATGTACGCACAAAGCTGCGAACAGGGTGTGGACGCCTGGCCTCCGGTGAGGGTTGGCGCCGGTGAAGATGGTGGCATAATCATTTCACCCGCAATAAGGGGGTATGATGATGGCATCATTTTGCAACCTTAAGTTTAATATTCGTCCCGCAGGACCTGCGGTTGCCGCGGCTGTACTCCGTGCGACTGAAATTCAACAAGCGATTCTTGGTGATGCACTGCTTTCCCTTCGTGCCAACTGAAGGTCATGACCGTAGCGAGGCCTATTGTCTCGCCCTTCGCTCGCTGCTCAAGGCCCACTAGTAAGCCGGCCCCTCCCCTGCCACTCCCCGACAGACCTTGTGTTTTAACTTTAAGATCATTACTATTGACTACGAGGTACACTACCTCTACTTGCAGCGGGCAGATCACCGCTGTTTCACTGCGGTCGGAGAGTCGGGAGCCGAGTCTGCAGCCGCTCCTGGAGGTCTGTTCACCCAAACTCCAGCGGCTGGCCATTGAGCGTGATGTCGATCCAGTAGGGATCCTCATGGCCGCCCTGACGTCAGGCAAGGGCAAGTTCGCCAGCCTGACCAGCCTCGATCTCAGTTCATCACCGCCAGACCTGCGACGCCTAGGGGACGTCCTTGCTCGCCTCCCCAGTCTGCTTCTCCTCGATGTGGCTTTCGTTCACTGCGCGAAAGAGGTAACACCGGGTAACAAATTAAGGACAGAAAAATAATAAGGCATACACGACAACGACAACTAACGTACCCACTAAACCCTAATATGCATGTTTCTGCATAAACATGCAGAATTTTGAACAGCCATAAGTATGCACACTTTGTATGCATATTTATGTGCAAATTGTACGTAT